TAGATCGTAAAGAATCGTAAACCCCCAACTCCCCACGCCCATAAAGGTACATCGCAATGTCGGGCGGTGCCATTACCGCCGCCCTTCTTTCGCAGTGCAACATACGGCGCAGTGGCAGCGATGGAATTTCTTTTTTCCTTCCTCTTCTGCTCTTTTATTTTAACTTGATTTTGCAATTTCGCGCGTGAAAAAAAAGTGCGCCCAACCAACCGATGAACGCGCGTGACCTTTGTAACTTTATGACGCGTCGCGCGCTATTTTATACGAACGAAATATTTCATGGATGTCATCTCTCGTGTTGCACTTTGAAAAAAAGTCGAGATAACGCGTAAAGTATTGGTAGAGGTCACGATTTACGAATTTTATGTCGTGGAAATAACGTTTCATCTTCGTCCTTCTACGGGATCGAAAATGTTGGCGTGAAATGAGAAAAGAGGCTTTTGTTGCATATTTTAACGGAGCCGCGTATATCGATCACGCTCTACGAGGAATCAAACGATGCGATGGGCCGTATGTTGGTTGGCCCTTACCTCGTTCAATATCACGCAGGAACGACTCTCTCGACTGCGGAAAGCACAAACTGCGTACGCACGTGCGCGTGCATATATGCGCGCGCCCGTGGAATACGATATCGCGAATTCGGTATTTACGAGCGGAACGATCGGCCGAGATTCGGTGATCAATACCGAGCTCGTTTGCATGTTTCTCGTGCGAGTTCACTTCGGTCCTCCTCGGTGAATTCAAAATGTTGAAAAACATTCGGAAGTCTCGCTCGTTAAATTGTGGCTTCGTCGAGGAAGTCGAGCTTTATCGACCGGAACAATTCAATTGCATGCAACGAGAGTCCTTTTCCTTCTCTTTTTTTTTTCGTCACGAGGAATCGCCGCACTTCTCTCATCAATGGCGCAACTGCGATTTTTCAGAAGCTTCGAATGGATTCCGGAAACGCATTTGTAGGGCTCGTTAAAGGCCGGACGGGGATCAATTAAAATGCGGCTATTAAACACTCAATCCAATCGGGCTGAAATTCTCGACAATACCGAGGACACCCGATACACGTTTTCGCACGCACGCACGCGTTTCGCGAAATTTACGATCGCTGTAATCCATCGTGACCCGATAGGTGCCGAAACGCGTAACTCGTTTTCGACCTCTCGATTACGCGCCGCTGCATCGCCGTCACCGTCGCTGCAGGTTGCACTGCCCCCAAATGCGAAATGCAGTCCGAGCGCATTTCTACTACTCTGCCGCATATAAACGTTGTCTCTCCTTGCCTCCCCCCCCTGCCCTCGACTCATATCGATTGCTCTCCCTCCCCCCATATGACATATAAATTATATATCTGTATTTATGCCAAACTTGAAGACTTTTGTCGTCTATATATGTCGTACACCCGTACTTTGTTCGATCCATTTCGCCCTCCGTCACTCAACGAATCAACATCAACTGTTATTGATTGATATGACTGTACAGCGTGTGTGTCGCATGTCATGTGTGTGTATATATATGTACAGAAATTAATGGCCGTTTCGTGTCGTGGCGCGGCGTAGCTTGCATGCTTTCTTGACGGCGCGTAGGTGATGTTCTACCGCTAACACGCAGATTCCCACTCCCGTCCTCCCATGTCACGTGTTCGTGTGTACGTGTTCGCGCATCAGTAAACTACAAAACAGGGATTGAAACCGGAGTAATTTTGGCGAGTTCGGATTACGGTGCCGCCCGATTGCGAAAATGAATTTCCAAATACATATTCCGCGGCCATTCGCGCGAGTAAAATGCGCTCTTCATGTCCGAAGCATCGAGAATTGAACTCGCCATACAATTACTGCTCGTAGTTTCGATTCCTGATCACAGAGGAAACATACGCGTGTATGTTTGTACGTGTATACATGTATAAACGCCTGAACGTGAGTTCGTGTAAACTCGTGAATGTAAACTCGTTAATAAAGCCTCCATAGCAAATAAAGTCACATTCACATCCCAATGAACTCACAATAATCATGTATAAATTATGATGTTACCGTGAGATTATTAAAAGGTCACAGCGGCATCATATTATTATATCTTGATGTCACAGAAGTGTCAAGTGAGGGGTAACTTTTATCACTGTTGCATAATGATGCCGTAGCGATATCACAACTGTGACAAAACGGCCATTCATTCGTCACTATGACTTTGTTGTGATATTACTGTGACTCTTTTTGCTATAGGGGAGAGCATGATTAATTGTGCTCACTGTTTGAATCGGCTTTAAACGTTATAGTCGCGATTGTACGTCGCGAGACACGAGCGTGACTGTGCTTCGACCGTGACGATCCTTCCTCTGCATCAAGTCCACTGCCGTCATACTTTTTCGATATATGGTCTCATTTCGTAAAATCACATCTTCAGAAATGCGCGAGTAACTCTTGAAAGCTCTCCAAGCTGATGGTCGATAACGCGACCGTGTAGCGTCTCCGATATTTCGGAGAGTTTCGCAAATAAAAAGAAAGATTTCTCGGAGAAAGAGAGAGAGAGAGAGAGAGAGAGAAATCGAGTCTGTAACCTCCATACATCTCTAAAGATACCGGAGCGTTCATTTAATTATCGTTTACGTTGCAATTGAAATGACGTCAAACGTCATTTCTAACTGATTACTAATTAATGTTTGCATGCATGCTTTCATTTGCAATGTGAATTGAAACCGATATAATTTAGATGGGTTCGTATTTCGGTATTACGTATTTATACGGGGATACTCACCGTGCAACGATTATTCAAATTGATGGAAGCGCGATCGTAAGATACATTTGTCCCCGTATGCGGAAAATCGAACTGGCTCACAATTATACCGGTTACGATTCTAGATTTTACAGGTGGGATCTGCGGTCGATAGCGAAAAGCGGCTCATTCTCGAATGTAATCACCCGAGAGGCTATGATTATTAGACGAGGCACTCGAATGCACACACAAGAAGCCGACCCTCCGGGGCCGCTTCTTAACGTCATCGGCTTGATTAAGCCTGTCGGATAAGAGGCGTTATATATGAAGATTGAATTTAATTAGTTAAAGGACTGCGGCGCCGCTCCACAGCCAGTACATTTACATCTTGAGACGTCCATTCGCGATGCATCACGTTGGTGTAGTAAACCACATGTAGCCGCTTCGTGAATAAGGGTTGAACTGGGCTATGAAGGCAAAATATACGTGTCGCAATGAATTATGAGGGGCTAACTTTATGAGCTCGGTGTATCCGTCGTAATTTTCGCTACGAATTTCATGATACAAGCATTTGCCGTATAACTGGCAGTTCGGCGCTTGCTCGTCGGAATTATTCCGGGAATTATTACGGGAGATAATCGAGGTAAGAATCAATTTGGACGAGAAAGAGGAAAGACGATGGCGAGAGAATGAACGAATCGATTTGATTGGACAAGTCGATGACCGAATAGGAAATCTTCTCGAGAAAATAAATGCGACGTAATCGACGGTGACGATCGAACTGCAAATGTGATTGCTACATCCCAAGAGAACCTTCTTACAATTTTCTCAGTACGAACGGATCTTTGCATATATTCAGAAAAAAAAATGTGCCGCTTCTCTCTTGAAAATATACAGTGCATTGAGGACTATTTGAAGTCTTATCAAATTCGTTTTACTTTCATTGTGCCCAGGAATATTGGAAAATAACGTCTTTACGAATAATAATATCGCTCGTTCAAGAAATAACGTTTGCCGGTATCGCGAAGAACGAAAAGGAACGAAAAGGCATTTGCAAGACTTGTATATGAAAATATCGAAGTACTTACGAGTTTGCATAAAATTATCCCATTCGGTTTATGATTCACGTAGATCTTTCTGCAATAACGCGCTTCTGTAGATGATTAAATATTGAATCGCCCACGGCAATTCTATCCATCGGAAAAGGGTTCTTTCGAAGCCTTCGATGGCCCATGGGAACCAGCCAAACCATATCCTATTTGGCTCTAGATCAAAGTGCAACAGATACCCGGGGAGCGACACGGGACTTAAAAAAAACTGGAAAATCCTTTCAAGATATCCCCGACATCGTCACTTTATTTCCCGTCCTCCAATCCTCCTCGTGTAGATAAGGGAAGAGATGAAAGCGACAAGAATCTTTTGTTCAAGATTTCATTTTAATTACTTTAATATGATTGTACAGCACGATATCCGCGTAGAAAAGTAGCAGACTGTAAAATCTTTTGATCAGCTCTTATCAGACATCAAAATATCTGTGCGGAGTAATATTGAGTGCTATATCTACATGAATCAAATTGTTCTTAAAGCTAATATTTATCGTACGAAAATATATGATACGATAAAAATAGAGACTATTAACTTTATTTTTTGCAAATCTCTTAGATTAACATCTCTTTATTAAACTTATTGGATAGAGAACTTATCGAATGATCGCAAAAATGTTTTAAATTTTCGAAAATTTTGTATCATGAGATATATAATACCCTAAAGCTCCTCGAAAGTTAAAGTCAATCAATTTCCGTTCATCCAACTTTTGCAGAAGTGGTACATATATAAGTATGTTACCTTATTAAACATTTACAACAGCACACGATACAAGTTTCGCGTAAAGCGGCCATGTGATTGCTACGCATTCGCGACGAAGCCAAGGAAGTTGCGAACACTTCATCAGAAACAAGAACTTCTTGACCACGTGAAAAGCAATTTTCAGCAACGATAAAGAGCCAGTTTTCCGCCTGTCGGCCGCACGAACGCGCTTTTCCAGGCGCGCACGGTGCGCTGCTTCACGAGAGAGAAATCACCGTCTCTTCTTCGCACCGTCCCACGGCCGAGTGGATTCTCCCGTTGCACGCCTTATCATGTAACGTCGGTTTGCGAATGCATCATTTCGTAAAGTAGATGTAGATGTAGATGCAAGCGGAATTCATAGTTGCATGCGTACGTTCGGCTTCGAGTTACCTAACGGAATGTCCCTATCATGTAGATACGTGCCCGTCTTAATCAAACTTTGACCTTGGTAGCTCGATCTGGTACTCAACTCACAGGAGGGTGGTGACTTATCCGATTTCATCATGAACGGGGAATGGTACCTCATCGGTGAGTTTCATTGAGCAAGTTTACCTGTCAGGCCAATCAGACTTTGCCTCTGTATTGGCGCGTATTTGTGTCTGTATTTGTGTGCGTAAAAAGGAACGTGTCTATAGAAGGTGAATAAAATCTCGAATCGACTCGATGCGCGTCAATGAATGGATTTTACAGTGATAATACGGAAGTATAAAACGCTGATTCAGATATAAAGTATTTTTATGCATATAAAGGATAAATAAAGATTTTTAAGAATTTTATTTGATTAATATTATTTAGAACAGATATGTATTAGCAACGCTTAAGATATCAATGATTGTTTATGACACTTTGTCTCTCATTAAAAATTGCTGATTGGAATGAAGTTCTAAACCAAAATTCGACCGATGTGTTGTTTCGATGGTAATTGATACCACAGTAAGGCTACTATTTAATTATTGTTAAACTTATATAAAAAATTAATATAGATTTGATACTATGCGGTGTTATAATTCTCACCGTGTTGGTGTTGATATAAACATCAACATAGTGTGTGTGTGTGTGTGTGAATTTAACACTATGGATTTAAAACTCACGGTGTTAAATTCGCACTCAGACTTCTTAGTATATGTTTTCGCTTTCACATGGAGAAAAATGGTTGAGTAATTTTTATCTTACAAAGTTAGTAAAAATATTCTGGCTATTTTTTATATTAACCCTTCATGGTCACACTTCTAAAAAGCCACACGATGGTTACTTTGGGTTAAAATGACCCGACCCATCTTTAAAGTGTTACCAAATCGACAGTATTAGTTGCAATGATTTAAAAAAAATACAGTATATAATTTCATCTTTTAAGAAAATGGAATAGTAGCGTTTTTGTGAAAAATTTAACTTTAACACTAAAAAAAATCGTAAATATATTAGATTTTTAGAATTTAGCGTGAAAATTACATATACATCGTCTTTCACGCTAAATTCTAATACATGTTTACGATTTTCTTTTAGTGTTAAAATTAAATTTTTCACAAAATGCTCGGGTCGCATCCAGTGTGACCATGAAGGGTTAAATACTTCGCCGAATTCATGACAAACTTTACCTGAAAGTAAAAACACTGAAGAGATAAGGTAAAAAGTATATTTTACAATCATAACAAATCTATTCGATTTACCTTACAATAAAGCCTTACAATAAATCATACTATTCTCAAGACTAAACACGAACAACTCTCAAAATTTATAAGATATAAAGAATACCTTACATAATTATACGACGGTCGCATCAGAAAAATAACGTAAATTTTAACATAAGTAGGCACTTGTCCCTATATACTCATTAAAAAAGTGTTTAATTTTAAGATATAAAAATGTTTTATTCTTGTCTCCGTTTTCTAAACGCTTAAAGATGTTTTAATTTTAAACTTTTCACAATAAACAAAACACTATGTTTTGATTTAAAACACTAAGGCCCGGTTGCACCAACGTTACTTTAATTTTAAGCGAGACTTAAAACTCTCTTTGTCCCTGTCTTTTTTCGGCTTTAAAACGAGACAGAGAGAGTTTTAAGTCTCGCTTAAAGTCAAAGTAACGTTGGTGCAACTGGGCCTTAAACATTTAAAATTGAAATATCTTTTATTATTAACCTTTTATTTTACAAAGATGTTTTAAATGGAAACACTGCACTTTTTACAGTGTATGGACCTGCTGATTCTAATAAAATTTACTAGAATTCTAGCGCATATTACTTTACATTTTTCTCTATGTGTGCATAATAATTGATTTTACTTGCACTTCCATAAAGTTATTTCGGGAAGAAAAAATGATTAGTAGAAATGGAATTAAAGCAAGAAAAATCATGGAAGAAAAGAAAGAAGTCAGTTTGACATAATTTAAATTTTCTCTCTTGCCGTTTCGCGTTCAGACTTAATCCTCATGTGTTCTCGGCACGTATGCACAATGATATATACATCTATCGTTAATCTGTCGCAATTTGCGAATCTGTTTGTACAGCGTGTAGCATTGTGAAAGTACGGAATGGGAATGGAATTACAAATAGAATGCAATAATATATTGCAAGGAGCTATTATGGAATTCAACGATTCTATTTTCAGGCAGTAATTACGCGGCCATATTTCAACAGCTGTAAATGTATACTCTCTCATCCGCATTTTACCACATACATAGACAAGATAAGTATTAAAGTATTCAAGTTGTGCTCAATACCAACGCAGGCATGAGCACGAATCGTATATTTTTTAAAACCAATCCTTCATTTCCGAGCACTCACAACTAACGAGCTCGTTCTCTGTTTCCGACTGCTTTTGCGTCATATACTGAATGCGTCGCGTTAAGCGATGATACGAATACGCAATTCGAATTATGACTGTCTTCGCAAAGTCGGTTTATTAAATATTCATGAATATAAACGTATTTGCTCTGGCATCTCAACTCTATCAATGTCATTATTTAAAAAACTGAATAATTCCCTCTTTCTTGTCTTGAATCATATTATATATACTGTTTATTTATTCAGCGAAAATATTTTTTAAATTCTACATATTTGTAAACTTCATCCTAACATTCATTCTAGAGCCACCTTCTGCAGTAAATACTGGCTTTCATAAAAGAAGATATATCGCTAAACAAAATCTCTGTCATCCTGATTCGTTCCAGCTTCCCGACTGAATTCTGGAACGCAAATTTCACTGGTGATACGAAACAGCGTCATTGGTGTGTAAAGGAATGCTGATGGAAACCGTTAAGAAACCGCAACTCCTCTCCTCTCCTTCTCTCTTCTCTTATTCGCCTCCGTCGTGTTCACGAATGTCATCCTAGAGTTCCTCGTTTGGCGCGAAATCACGATCGATGTCGCGACTAAATAGAAATCGAAAGATTTTATGAAGCCTCCATGTCTCGGTGATGCCGCAATGACGTATGACTTTATGGCGGTGATTCCCTATAGCGAGCTAGCGTTCTTTCCTTTTTGTTTCCTTCTTTTTCGTACCCGTCACTTATTGGTCTGTGTTCTTTTACGACTACATTCCTTAAGCTCGCATATCGGAAAGTGCTATTCTCATGTACGACGGTTTTCTTGAAGCGAATTCGGGACGGTCGACACGCCAAAACTGCAAAGAGAGATAGAATCTATGATAGTCTTGGTCTAGCATCTTGAAAAAAATCCCTGAAGATATCCACGTAAGAGAGAGATCCTTTAAAAGAGGAGTGCATTCTCCTGAAATGAAGCTGCAAGAGAGAAAAAAAACGAAAATATAAAAAGTAACATTGTGCTTTATTAGTTAAAATAATTTACAAAAATTTTGATACATATTTGTTTTGACATGTTTGTTTACTATAATAACGACACAACTGAAAAATTGTTATTTTGTAATTGTTTGAAAAAAAAAGTGAAAACAAAAAGAAATAAACAATTTAAAAAAAAACATATTTTATCCATCTATATATTTAGTAGAAAATAATAATGTTTACTATTTGTTACACTAAAATGGCATTTTAAGTTAATATTACAAAATTTTAATGATTCAAAATATTCAAACTTATTTTCTGGAAAAAAACTTCTTTAACTTGTGTTGTTGTAATAAATGAGCGATGTATACATTTATATTTCTGTTAACAGTTTTGTTAATGAATTCAATGGAAGTGAATAAAGCAATCTTTTTTTATGCAAAGTGAAAGAGATAAATGGAAGAAAAATTTGAAGCTATTTAATAAAGCTCTAGCTGTTTAAGAAGTGACAGAGACAAAGTGTAGTCAATTACGTTGTTAAAAAATAAAATGCATGAACACAGCTCGATGCCTTCGACCTGCTCCGACCGATAAAACGATACATTCGACACAATCGGCACATCGACGCGCGTAATTAAGAGTGTCGCCCCTAAAGTCCGTGTTTTCGGAAATACGTTAATTATCTCGAGGCATTGAGCGTGGTCTACGCGTCGAAATACAAAGAAAAAGTGTTCTGAGGTACGAGCCAGCAACAAGTGAGTGTCCGATATCGCGATGTTCGAGATCGATTCGAGAGCCCGTCCGATCGGAAGCTATTAAGAAATCCTCCATCCACGAAAAACATATAGAACGATCAAGGGTCTCCTTTAGCTTTTAGTACATTTCCACCATCTTCGAGAAAATGTATCGACAGATGCATCGTATTTAAAAATCGCGAGGATGGCAAGTTTTGTTTTACCAGTAGCTTAAATCGTCCCAATGGACTAGAACGGAAGCGGAAATTCGCAAATCCACAAGATCTTTTTGTTCCTTACGAGCCGTGTCGTAATCCTAAGGTAGTTTAAGTTAACAAGGCCACGAGAAGCAACAAAATTGTTACGAAAAAGTCGACGTGACTCGCTCGCACGAATCTTTCGGTGCTGGGTGCTGCCATGATTCGACAACATTTACGGCTCTCTCACGAGTCCACGTAGCCTCGCGATAAAACAGATGGATGGATGATAGATAGACCCAACTTTATGACTTGGGATTTTAGTCCCCTTAAGACACAATATAGTGGCAAAAAGTGAAGAAGACAAAAGCTAGCAATAATAAAGAGATATAGAGATAGTGATACTTATAGACAAGTGCTTTATTATGTTCTCGACAGAAGAATGAAAAATAATAGGGTCGGAATATATAGCAAGCATAGAAAAAAAAGAAAGTGAGGGTCGGAACGTAATCGAGGAATGCAATCGATGGGCAAGCGATTGTACTCCGCTGTGTTGAAATGTATCCATGTCATATGTAGTCCCTTGGACAAATATGTCGGCGTGTACATCGGTGCTGGCACTTTTTCCAGGTATGCCGGGAAAGAAGAACACGTTAATATATCAATGCTGCCCGGAGCCGTACGTTGACGTCACATTCACGATACAGATACGCAGGAGAACCCTCTACTACTTTTTCAACCTGATCGTGCCCTGCGTGCTGATATCGAGCATGGCCCTACTGGGCTTCACCCTGCCGCCCGATTCCGGCGAGAAGCTCACCCTAGGTAACGTAACTCTTAGCATGCCTGCCTGCACACCAGCCAGACACACCTCTTCCTTTCTTTTCGGTTGGAATTGTTACTGTTTACACGATATGTAATATATACACAGTATACATTTAGCTTGGAATAAAAGCTCACAAGACACGTAGATGTTTAAAATAAATCACGTGTAAATTTTTACACTTCTTAAGACTTTAATTTTCGCTAAATTACTTTTGTTAAAATTACTTTCTAACGGATGAAAAATTTTTTATTATGTTACAAAGTCGAAAACTTTGAAGTTAATTTATCGAAGAATCTTAGCTTATATTTTTATCGTAATTTTTACTTATAAAAATTTTTTAGCTTAGCTTTTAAATTGTAATACCTTATTATTTAATGACAGAATTATCCTATTAATAATTTGATATAAAATGATGTATATTTGGATGTATATTACACTGCATATATTACATATCTACACGCGTGTTATACGTCTTTACTTTTTTGTAAGTATACTTTCCGTTGATACTTTATACTCTCGGCGCCACTGCTGACTGTCCTACGTTTGTTTCGTTTTGACGACGGAAGGAAAATAGTCAAGATCGACTCTACTTCGATCACGGACGACCAAACGACGTCGCGTAACGTTTTCGTCGGGAGACACCCGTGTAACGGCAATCTATACAGCGAGACTCCATTTCTTTTTCCTCTCACGGATCACACGCACACTTTTCTGGTCGTTGTCGTTAAATCGTTTAGCGGGGCTCTCGATGTCTCGAAAGCTCTCGTTTCCGTATATTTATTATCACCGATGGTGCGCGTGCACTCGCGTATCGATTAGTCGAACATACCTTTGCAATTACACTTAGCCATCAACAGAGGTTTTATTGTCGGGTTGCTGGAGAAATAGGAGACTGTTATTCTTTGGGTAACACTTTCGCATCAATTTCGACATTTACTTTTCAACAATTTGCCGCTTTAGATATATTTTTGTACTTAGATAAATCTCCTGATCTATCTCGATCATCTAAATAGGATGTTCAAAAATCTCATCGTAGACCATGAATAAATTTCGATACAACTACATATTTTACAATCAATCAAAATTGATAAATTCTTCGCTGTTATGTCTATTTCTCACTTGGATAATGTCGTCTTATTACGTGTTGATACATTTGGTGCATATGCATTTCTTGCCAGTTTCTTGCCAGACACCAGTGCGGTCGCCACGTTCCCTCGTAAAATCGCAATGTCTATGGGCGCCTTCGACATCTCACAGGCTTATACGTCCACATTTACGAAGGGTCGTTCGAGGAAGAGTGCCGCGTGATTTGAATTTTGGATATGCTGGGCAACCAGTACATCGCGTTAGCCTGTAAAGGCGTGCTGCATGTTACATAGCGCACTACGTATCTCGACATGTAAACGCCGTCGGTGATGCATATTTTAGAGGCTCCGCGCAATAAGCCTCTCTCGAACGGCTCCTTTGGTCCTGCAACGATGGTAGGCTACGTGAAATATTACGCGCTCTTCTCCACCAATTCCACAATGAGCGTTGTACTCGAATTGGCCGATGGTATCGACGAATTTTGACGTATTTTCTATTCGAGCGCGCGCATCTGATCCATTTCAACAAAATGTCCACGTTGACATTGAAGTGTTAATTCATCGAGACTGACGAGTTTATTAACCATTGAGAGTTCGAAGAATTCATAATTCGATCGAGGTGATCTATCAATCGGGAATCGAATAGTCGATCAAGCGCTGGTAATATCGAACCCCCCAATTATTCAGGTTTAATTCACGAATAACCAGCAGTGATCGCACCTCTCCACCGTTGTGCTCACCTTACATCAAAACGCCGAATGAACTGCATAAAATGACATTCGCGTCCTCGTGAATATTCATGACGCACCGGCAGATCCAATCTCCGGCTCTCGATACCGCATCGGGAAAAGTCACCGACTCTTCTCGTCCAAGTTTTTGACATGTCAGAGATAATGGGACTTCTCCCTGTGGGGTGCTTCGCACGATTTTCCTAAGATTGCGCGGGAATTGTGAACAGCATACCATCAGACTCCATCATAAAGCTGAAGACCAATCATTTCCATCAATCGATTTTTTATTTTTACTAACTTTTCCACTTATTCGTGAATTTTCCATAACGGTCTACTGTTTTTTTTTTTTTTTTTTTTTTTTGTTGATTGTCTCGTGCGACGCTTTCGATCAAGTTTTCCAAACACGCTGGAATTGTCATGTATAATTCCCATCTTGTGTCCGAAGCAATCGATGGGCTCGATAAAATCGGACGAGACATCAAAGTGGGATATTAGAGAACCGTTTCGCCAATGTATTGATTCCGATTGCAAACTGGTTCCACAATGTATAGCGTACATATATCTGTATATATACCCATCAGTCGATGTACGTGACTGTTGTAGTGACTCGCAGTCCGAATTATCAATTCTCGATACGTTCTCGATACTTCCTCACTTATCACTAATACCACCTTCATTCCGCGAGAGCCTCTCGTTATTTTTCTGCGGTATTAGCCGAAAATGCACCCCTATAATTATGATGGATCCATTACGAAATTCGTGTCGAGTTCCTCGACCGTTCTCCCATCTGTCATATTTAAGAGAATTTTCGAAAGCTGTGGCAATTACCGGGCGATATCTCTGTGCAGGGATGCCATATTTTCCCATTAATTTTTCCTCAGAGACCCCAAATCATTCACAACGCCTCTACAAGAAATATATTACATGAATATAATACACATCAATTCTTGTATTTTAGCAATTTTTTTGTTCAAATGCGATTGATACACAAAGAAATGCATTGACATATATTCTTATTATATTACTCTTTCTGTGTTTTTTTTTTATATCAAAAGAGAATTGCGAGTGACAAAATCTCACTTTGACAAGTCATAACCGCGGTCGGTTTCAGAAACGACTTTTCTCATTCGTTGTTCGGGAATTGAATTGAAATTTCGTGTGGTGGTTTGGGAAAACGACAACCTAGAATCGATCTCAAAACCGATTCGTGCCGTCGCCGTCACTGTCATCCCTCGTGTTCGAGACTGTTCTCGACAAACGTTATGGTGTTATGGTGTCAGAGACAAATGGACGTAGCACACTCTTTACGTCGCGTATTATTTTTGGTAGTTCGCAGAACGCATCGTGAAAATATTTTCTCTTGGCACTCAGTAGTTCTCATAGACAAAGCTAACAATAAGTGCTAAATCGATATTACTCTTAAAAATGTTGATTTAAGATCGAAATTTTATTGGGTATTACATTCGGCTTTATTATGTCATTAATGAGTTATATTAAATTATGCTATAAATTAAATTATGAAACAGGAGAAGAAATTTGAAACTTCCGAGTTTTCCCCTGAGATGTTCGATCGAGATGCAGATTATGTAAGATGTTCCAGATGCAGATTATGTAAGAACCATTAACCTTAATTAATTCTTTGACCAACTTGAATAAATTTTCCTTTAAGTGAAATGTCGAGGCATTAATATTACTCGAACTATAAAATAGAAAGTAGAATCTTCTTAAAAAAGTAGAATTATTTTTAATGAGGAGAGCTCAACGGTCATTAACGAGCTATATTGATGTATGTGTATTGTTTAAAATGATCTTTATTTATTTGAAAAATTCAAAGAACACTGAACGTTCCGACTGCATAGAATTTTCATCATCAATGATAAAAATTATAAAATTGACATAATTAGAATCAATGAAATAAATGCAAATATATAAATAAAAAGAGAATGGTTTAGACATCACACCTTATGAAATAAATGCATATATTAATAAATAAATATGAAGTTAATAAAAAATAAAAGCTAAAATTGGAACAGAGAGGTCACATCAAAGTTGAAAGTGCTGTATAAATTAAGGCAAGCAATGTAAAAGATAAATTAAATATAATAAATACATTATTAACAAGTCCGTTTTAAACATAGAGAAAGCAACATAAAAGTGATCAATATATAAAAAAATGTCCATAATCTATTTATCATTCAAAGGGTTAAGTCAGAAGTAACAAGAAAAATCTAAGTGATGTTGTCAGAAAGAAAGTTAAAATAGGAAAAATTCTAAAAATAATATGCATAAATCAGTTTGTAATAAAGTTTAAAGACTTATTTTACTTTTAATAAGACTTATTTTACTTTTAATGTCATTTATCTACAAACTTTGGGTTCACCTTTGTTTCTGATTTCTGCGGATACTGTGACATAGACTGTAGCCGAAAAATGGTCTAAGAACTATATGTGCGATACAATGTATGATGGTAAATATTCAATCATACATTAGTGTTAGAAACTGATTGATTCAAATTTACAACTGTCTTTTTACTATCATTATATTATACTTGTTATCCCAATCGATAAAATTACGTAAATTGTAGAAACATTTAATAATTCCCGTCATATCATTTAAAATTTATCATTGAATTCAAAAGTAATCGTTGTTTTTTTTTTTTTTTTTTTTTGTAAAAATAGTACATGGAAAGAACTCATACAGTTTTGCTAAAGTATATAAAATTTTATCTAGATTCAAATCTGAAAATAATTTAGTTGGATCATCAAAATAATTATGTAGGATGCCAAAACTTTTTGCAGCATTGCTTGAAATTTCTACAAATTTATTTTCATGGTCCAACAAAATTATTTTCAAATCTGTATCTAACTAAATTTTTAGATACTTCAGCAAAATTGTTTTTCTCGTGTTTTTATTTTCTTTTTCTAGAAAAAATTCAGTATATATCTTTCCGCTGAAACAAACAGTCATACAAATTAAAATAAATATATATTCGGATACTCATTAATTCATATAAGTGCGCTCTCGACATGATAAAAAACATGAATGTACAATCGCATGAGGTGCACGGTAACAAACGTCATTGTTGCGTTAGAAATTAATTGAAGAGACAAAAAGCGAATACGCGACCATTCCGTATATAAAAATATATAAAAACAAAGATACGCAAATATGGATAATAATATG